AAAGAGAGAGAACACGTAAGAATCAAAGGTCAGAGAGAAGATGCTGTTTCTGGCTTTGAAGATGGAGGAAGTGGCCTAGTTCCAAGAAACATGGGCAGTCTCTGGAAGTAGAAACTGTTAGAAGGCTTCTCTGAATACCATGTTAGACTTCTAACCTCCCAACTTCAAGAGGATAAATTTGTGTTGTTTTAAGCCACTAAATTTGTAGTAATTAGTTACAGTGGCCACAGTAAACTAACATACCATCCAGGAATAATGCTAAGGCAGGCTTGCCTCACATTACATAATAAAGGATTTCCTGAGGCTGAATCAGCAATTGAAAGGAAATCATGTAAGAGTTGCCCAAATGGAGGTTAATACATAAAGAATAATTCAAGGAGACTTTACATCAAGGGAAGATTTCCTCCTGCATTTTCTGTTTCAACTGGTTATGGCAATTTTAAATAAACAGGGCTGGACACATGTGTTAATGACACACTATGCTAAAGGCAGAATGGAATCTCTTGCACTCTGATTGTATCATCACATTCCCATTTGTCAGCTTCTAACGTAATTGCCGAAATCTAACAAGGCTCCTGAGAACAGCATCAGTGGGTTGATGCCTCAACATCAGGAGGACAGAAGAGAGTAACTCTGGGCTTAGGAGTGAAGAACTGAAAATCAGTGGTCTCAATATCTGTATAAATTTTCATTTGCTATTTATAATGTGGCTTCTCCATAGAGAAGCTTTATGAAAATAAGAAAATACCAGGATAACAAAAAAGATGTCTACAGAATGAAATATGTTTCAAAACTAAATGGATTTTGTCCTACATTCTTTGGCTCCCACAGCTCCTTGTACCATCTCTGGTTTTGCATTTCCCTTACCAGATCTAAGCTCCGTGGAAAGACCTGGATATCTCATTTCCAACTACTACATCTATAGCATCTAGCACTGATACTGACTCTTAGTTTGCAGATAATAAATATTTGTGGATGAACAAATATTATGATCTATATTTATAATGGAAAGGCATATCATGACTTTCATTAGGAATTACCCAGAAAGTTCTTTTTTTTTTTGTTAATTGTCACCTGAGAATACTTTTCCATTGATTTTTACTAAGAGTGGAAGGGAAGGTGGGAGAGAGAGAGAGAAACATTGATGTGAGATACATCGATTGGTTTCCTCCTGCCCTTCCTCCCACAAGGGCCAGGGATTGAACTTGCAACCCAGGTACATGCCCTTGACCAGGAATCAAATCCGTGACTCTTCAATGGGGCCAACGCTCTAACCACTGAGCTAAACCGGCCAGTGCCCCATAGAGTTCTTTTTCTCCAGTTTGAACTTAGAAGTATTGGCCCAAGATATTACTTACAGTAGAATTAAAAGTATGTTTTCTGATCTTACTTGCCTATTAATATATGCATTTGATAATTAACAATGTGCTAAGCAGTCAAAGCAAATAATTACTTTTCTAGTGTCTGCCTCTGTGTAAGAACTAAATGAGGAGGAAGCCACTAATTGCATATTAAAAAATGATAACTAGTTTTAAAACATTCTGTTTAATCTCAAACCACAACACTTAAAACAGTCACAGTCTTTCACTGGCTCAGTTACAACCCCACAAAACAGTCCAAATCTTCAGAACAGATGTAAATTCTGCTTGGGTTGCACTAAATATAAAATACATATTCAAAAGTCTGCTAGTTCACATTTACGAGGTCTTTTGACCAACTGGTAGGGTTGATCATAAAAACTGTACCTTTTAATTTACTTATGTTCAGTATATTTTATTTAAGAAGCAATGTAATCTCATGAAAAGTTATTATTGTGAGTCTTATTTTGAAATATTCAGGCAGGATAGTAAGAAGCTAGGAAAATTCCTTTGCAAGTGGAATGGGGAAACTGAGACAGGCAGTTAAACAGCTGAGCAATTTATAGCCAGGTGATAAATAACAAGGTCTTATCTTCCATAACCAAGGACACTTAGGAGCAAATGGTTTATAAATCCAGACCCTGTAGGGGCTGACCCACCTGGGTCCTGGTTCCTCTTCTGTGACATTCTTTGAAGGTGAAACTGACCAGAGTATGACCCTGACCCTATTAGCTCATTTTGATGAATCAGCATATTAAAGGATACATCTGGAAAGCTGATGAGTATTCTATTGAGATCCTCCCCTGGGATCTCTCCTAAAAGTCCTGCCTTTATAAAACAGATAAAAACCCTTAAGACAAAGGACCCAGTGCACTCTCTCTGGCACATACCCACGCCTTCTCTGGCTTCTTTTCTCAGGCCTATAACTTTGCTTTCTTTCTCCTAAGCTCTAAGGGTTCCCACAAGGCTTCAAACGAGGGGAAGCAGCAGGCAGTAGCAGTTACTCCTGGGTGAACCCCTTGAACCTGTCTCCAAGGGCCCTCCTTTCGCCTCTGTAACTTATTTCCTGAGTCCACACAGTGCAGATGGCTCAATTCTGCTGCTGTGACTTTCTTTCTAAAGGGTCAAGGCAGCCTTGCCTAGGCTCTACTCTTTCAAAGAGCTAAGGCAGCTCCACTTAGGCTCACTCCTGTTGCTATGATCTTGTCTCTTCCATCCTAAGCCCTTCCTTTGTTCACTGTGCCCAGCTTTAAAAAACGTGCCCTCAAAATCACCTGGACTCATATTGTGAAATCCTCCCTGCACGAAGTCAAGAAACCACACATTCCAGACCATGCCAGGGCAGACCCACCTCTGTCCAGGTCCCTTTCTGGTGATGATATGACTGAACACATTAACATAATTCAGAACAAGTCAGAAAAAAAATCTACAAAAACATGTTATATAATTCTGGTGAGTCTGATAATACTCTCTTTTTATCTTATTTTATTTTTTATTAACCCTCAGCCAAGGATATTTTTTCCATTGAATTTTAGAGAGAGTGAAAGGGATGGAGAGAGGAGACGGGGAGAGAGAGGGAAAGACAGAAAAGGAGAGAAAGAGAGACACTGATGTGAAGAGACACAGTGATTGGTTGCCTCCCACATACACCCCAACCAAGGCTGTGGATCAAACCTGCAACCCAGGCATATGTCCTTCACCAGGAATTGAACTATGACCCTTTGGTCTGTGGACCAATGCTCTAACCATTGAGTCACACCAGCCAGGGCCCATAACACTCTTATTTTTAAAGGAAAGAAACCACTGGACAGAAAAATGTTAAATTCAGAATCTGATTTTCAAGTGTCCAGTAAAAACAAAAATGTACTCACTGTGTGGTCCAGAGTCAGAGCTCTAGCTGATGCTAAAGTGCTTATTGGGCTAAATGATTAAAAACAAAAACAAAAAACAGCTAAGTGCAAATCAGACCATTTGGAAGTAGCATTAATCTGTCTGGTCAACTAACACCCTAACCTGGTCTACCGTGTAAACCAAGACTTCGAGTCCTGCTATGATTTCTATCTCCTTTAGAAATGAGCACTCTGTGGTCACTTGATAGCACTGTATAATCTCAGCATCCGGGAACCCTCAGCCAAGAGTCACCAAGGATGGCCTGAAGAAGGTAAGGAGCATGTCCAAGTTCACCCAGTGCAGGAGCAGATGTGGAGCTGGGATCCCAGCCACCTGAGCCCTAGTTCAGGTGTTTCTCCACTAGTTTATTTTCTCCCTTCTCCATCCAACCACCTTTGTAAAGGCCCAACAGCAGGACAGGCTGCTTCTCCAGCGATTACATCACTGGGTTGTACCTGGTGGGAGTCGATGACATGGGCGTGAGCATGTTCAAGAGTGTGTGTAAATACTAGAAAACAGATGAGGGAAGGTCTGAGGGTTCTCCCTGCTGATTACACTGCCTGGACTTTGGGGAGAGCAATTCTGGACAGCACTTTTTCCATTCTTACATCTTCATTCTGGGATTGTTCTAGATAGGCTGGCTGTCAGAAAAGTGAGCCTTGATGGGGAGGAATCAATGCATCTTGGCTTACTGAAAGAGCCTCGGCTTCTAAAGGCATTGGACATCACTGCAGGACTCAAGAGTCTCAGTTGTCAAGTTAACATCAGGTGAAAACGAACATCTACAGCCACTGCAATGGTCCTCAGGTCATTGCTATTCCATTAAGCAGAGCCAGAACCCACATAAGAGCAGCCATAGCTGCCTACTCTGCCTCCCTGAGGGGCAAGGGCAGTTTCCACTTGCTTACTGGGCTATCAGAGAAGGATTATCAGAATAGAGGAGAAAAAAAGCAAGGTGTAGAAGGCTTCTATTATTTTCACATTCCTAGCACTATACTCTTCTTTAGGGGAACCATCCTGTCCTTCAGACCACATGATTGCAGTGGAGCTAACTCCACACCCTGGTTTCAGGGGGCCACATGAGCTGGATGAGTGTCGGTCTGGGACTTTGTACCACCAAGGATGGAAATCTAGAACCCCCAGGAACCACTACCTAGAGAGAGCCTACATGAGAATGAAATCAGCCTAGAGGAAAGCAGGGCTGAGCAATGAAGAGTCCAACTCCTGAAACCCCTCTGAGTCCCTGAATCCGCGATACAGAAAACCCAACTCCACCTCTGATATTTACAGTTCCATAAGGTAACACACACCTTTAAAAAAATTAATCCAGTTTAAGTTAGATTTCTGTCACTTAAAACTAAAAAAGCACTAACAAATACAGGAGAAATAATTGTTAGAAGGTGGGAAATAAGAAGAGATAATTACATTTACTGATAGAGTTATCTGGAAGCAGTTCACGTTTGTCCCCTGGAAATAAAGAAAGGTGACACGTGGGAATCTGTTCCACTTTTCATATTAAGCTCAGATCATCAGAACTGTAGCTCTGCTTAATTACTGTGATTAATCTCGCCAAATTCTAAATATAAAATGAGTGCATTTTCTGATGTTCGATGATACAGCTACAGTCATGAAGAGACGAAATGAGCCATTACCGAATGAAGACATCTTTTAAGAGAAATCATTTTTTTTCTGCCCAAATGCAGTCTTAACTGGGTAAAAGAGAAAAGGTCACAGTGACAACCCGGGTCTTACCTGGCATGGCATGGATGAGGTCCCCACACAGAACAAAGAATCTGGGCTTGGGCTTCAGCTTGTTGATGGCCTGAATGGCTTGCTCAGTTAGGCGAATCTCCTGCCCCCACTCATCTCCACCGTTGTCACAGTCACCAGTGGACCAGGCCTTCATCAGTCCAAACTGTGGGTCTGCACCCTGGATGAAGTAGAATGGGCCTTTCCATTCCCTTTCCTTTTCTTAAAAAAAAAAAGCAGAGGGGGGGAGAGGGAAGAAATATTATGACGTCTGTCAGGGAAAGCATCCAGGTTACAGTGCGAGTGGATACAATATTTTTCTTAAATTAAGTAGGTCATTTTAATAAGCTGCTGTTCAAACATACCATTTTCCTGTCATAGTCTAGAGGATGTTGATTTATACTAATTATATCTGGGACCCAGTGTTTCCCAAAGGCCAGGACAAACCACGTGGGCCTCGGCAGCCATGCAGCAAGCTGTTTGTTTAAAAGCTAGCTGGCCAAAATGGAGCTCGGAGGCACAACTGCACACTATAGAGAGGATATTAATGTTCAATAATAGGTTTTTAATTAGAATTGAAAATGTCCCAAATTGAAAGCTACCAGAAGTATTATATTTAAATTACTAGGTGAAGTGCTCTCAAATCTTCTATGCCAGGCTTAATGGCACAATTTGCACAGTTTCAGGAGATGTGACAGAATTTTAATTATAAAACTTGGAGCTCAGAAGCGCTGGCTATCTGGTGGGAAATGCCGTGCCAGAAATGAAATCTTGAAATGAGTTAGTCAATGTGGGAAAAAAAAAAATCGATGATAACATTTCAAAGACAGCATGATGTGGGCATAAGTGAGGTGTGATGCTGGAGGGGTGGGAAAGAAAGGGAGAGAGGATTCTTGGAAAGAGAGGTAGGTCACATGCACTGAAATTATCAGGCTTGACCCTCCTATTGGTTCAGCTGGCCCAAAGGTCTCTACCCTTATCTTCCAAAGAACCACAGCTAGTGTCTGCTTCTGCAGAACTGGAATGGCCCCTAATGGGCATGGAAGCCCTGTGGAGTTCAAACTTTTTTTTCTGGCCACAGAGTCCCTTCTTCTCCAAAAACCTCATGTGGCAGACCAATGTTGAAAACACAGAGCTGCCCCTGCCCAACTGGGATCTGGGGATGGCACAGTCTGAAGACCCCTGATCTACAGCCCTGGTGCTTATCCTCCAAGAAAAGTGAAGCACAGAGAAGTGACCTGAGTTGCCCAATGGCCCAGCAGCAATTAGTGACAGGGACAAAACTACTCCGCAATCTTGAAACTCTTTTCTTTTTTAAATAAATTAACGTATTTAACATGTTAACTGAATAAGTGGCATTTCCTTTGGAAGTCATGAAAATATTATAATTTCCAAAAGCTCCTGGGATTAATCTCATGTTTCCATGTTTGATTCATTCGTTTACTCAGTAAGTACTTACTGAGAGCCTACCCGGGCCCCATTTGAGGTGCTCACCATACAGGGGTGGGCCAAGACAGGTGAGATCCCTGCTCTCCTGGGCTTAGGAATCATGGGGGAGACAGACAAGGACATCAGCAGAGAATGGAGCCAAGGGCTATGCAAGGATGAAGAGGGAAGCAATGCTTGTTTAAATTGATGCAGAGGGAAGGCCTCCCTGCGGTGGTGTCATTTAAGCTGAGTCTAAACAGCAAGAAGAAGCCATTTGTACATAACCTTTTAAAATCCCATGGCCACCCGCCCATAGCTTACAATCATCTTCAAGTGTACCTCTGATTCTAGGACGCCCTTCCTTCTTCATTCCTTTTTCAGAACTTAAAAAGACAAGATGCAAACAAATAAAACAACCTGTACATACTTTATAGAACAAGTTATATATGCATGTTAATCCACGAGTTCTTGACCTATAGCTCAGAGTGCTAGTTGCTCAGTAAATCACAGCCAACCTGAACTCAATCTGAACAGGGACTGCATGAAACCCTGGAGTATGCATCTCCTTGCTAAGAACAGTGAGAGATCCTGCACGATGATAGATTCAGCTCATTCACTGAGACCTTATTGTGTGTGACAAAAGACTCCCAGATGGCCCCAAAGGCCCCGTGTCATGATACTCACATCCTTGTGTAATCCCCTCCCCTTGAGTGTGGGCTGGACCTAGTGACTTTCTTCTAAGAAACAGAATAAGGTGATCCGCAGAATATCCGTCCCTTCAGGAAGAAGGCTAGACCAAGATATAGACATAACCTAAATGTCCCTTGATGGATGAATGGATAACAAAAATATACATACATACAGTGGAGTATTATTCAGCCTTAAAAAGAGAAAATCCTGCCATTTGGGACAATATGGCTGGACCTGGAGGACATTATGCTAAGTGAAATAAGCCAGTCACAGAAAGACAAATATTGTCTGATCTCATTTATATAGTCTGTAGATTCTAAAATAGCCAAGCTCATAGAAGTAGAGAGTAGAATGATGGTTGCCAGGGACTGAGGGTATGGGAAAATGAGGTCAAAGGGTACAAAGTTTAGTTATGCAAGATAAAGAAGTTTTGGAGGTCTATACAGTATAGCGTCTATAGCTAACAATATTGTGTAGTCTACCTAAAATCTGCTAAGACCGACCTTATGTTAAGTGTTTTCACTACACACATACACTCATCATCATCATCATCATCATCATCATCATTATAGGGATAAAATACTTATCATCATCATCATCATAGGGATAAAATACTTATCCCAAACTCAAAGAATTTACATATCAAATACGTACAGCTTTTTACATGTTAATCATAACTCAATAAAGCGATTTAGAAAAGAGAGATTAGGCTATAAAAAGAGTGTGACTTTCATCTTGCTCACTCTTTCTCACTCTCTCCTGGAACCCTTGCTCTGCAGGAACAAAGCTGCCGTGGTGTGAACAGCCCTATGGAGAAGTCCACATGGTAAGGAACTGAGGGGGGCTCTGGCCAAAGGCCTGTGAAGAATGAGACCCTCCATGTAACAATCCAAAACCACATGAGTGAACTTGGAAGAGGAGCCTCCCTAGTCAAGCTTTCAGATGAGACCACAGCCCCAGCTGACACCTTGCCTGAGCCCTGTGGGAGAAGCTAGGTCAGCCGCACTCAGATTCCTGACAGGAACTGTGAGATGATACATGTGAATTGTTTCAAGCTGCCAACTTCTAGGGTAATTTGTCACACAGTAAGAGATACCTATGGGTCAGGCATTAAAAATAAAGGGTGAGGAAGAACTCAGGGAAAAAACTAAGATTCTGATTGGTGTTTTAAAGTTAACTATTAGCACCCTTTGTTTATTTTACTTGAATAATATCTGTTTTGTACTGATGAATGCATTTAGCAGTGTTTCTGTTTCTGAGACAGTTGGCAGAGCTGCTTAAACTAGATAAATTAATCAGAAGCAGATCAGGGAGGTGATTATCACCCCAAGGGTGAAGCATAAATCAGTGTTCTACAACAAACAGAATTTATAAACAGTTTTCTACAACAAATGTTTGAACAAATATAGTTTCCTATGGCAGTGATTCTCAACTGGTGTGCAGCAGCAGGCACACTGGTGTGCCACAAGAATTTTTAAAACATGCAATACCTGACTATTTAGTCAGGGGCACTGACTTTTCCCTTAGACTGTCAAACAAAAAAAGGACAACAGCCATCTGGTGTGAATAAATCAAAATCATACCTATTTTTTTGTCTGATGAGCAAAACATGTTTTATGGTGTGCCGCAGAATTTTAGTAATTAGCTTACGTGCCATGAGATGAAGAAGGCTGCTAGTCGCTAGTTATAGTCTTAAAAAGTCCATAGTTCTTGGAGGTGTTAAAATAAAGTTTCATTATCGCTTGTTTACTTAGTAAAATCTTATAGACAGAATCTCACTTTGGTGATGACAAGACACAAAATAAATAGATGTGACCTGAAACGAGTAACAGCTCACATTTCACTGTTCTACTACCTGTCTACCTAATAAAAGCAATTTGTTGACTTGGGCTCCGCATTCTCAAAAGCACCTGGATCCTCTTAAGATTCCTGCTACAAAGCTTGTGGTCTTTGGTCTCCTCCTAACTTTATTTATTTATTTTTTTTGGTGGTACGTGCCCTTAGCGGGAACCGAACCCGGAACTCTCAACCGCTGAGCCAAACTGGCCAGGGTTCCTCCTAACTTTAATAAAGGCTGAATTAAATATATCTGCGGCCTGTAATCCTTAGTTCTAGAAGGAAGACTCTTTTGTATACATTTATACTTGCTCCAACCCCTCAGAAGGGCAAATTTTTATGAGAATAAATTAACATTTGCATGAAATTATTTCACCGAAGTCCAGAGTTACCCGCAAAGCAGGGCATAGGTATTAGTTAGGTGACATCTTCAAGAGCCAGTGATGCCATCCCTTCCAGGGCACAGCAAGAGCCCAGACTCTCTTTAGACTCTCTGAAAGCATTGTTCTGGCAGTTCAAGCCACGAAGTGTGGACATACTGAGGCCCATTCCCGAGGCACCCTGATACACCATCAGAGCATTAGAAAAGACGTGTAAGGATCTGCAGCTGGGGGAGGGTTGTTTTTCCCCTAGTCAAATAACTTAAATATGAGACTGCCTGCTTAAAGAGTAAATGACTTACAATGCAAATTAAGAAGCAGAATTGCCTGGAAATGGAGGCCGAGTCAGAGAGAGAAGGCCAGGATGCCGGAGCGAGGATAAGCGGGAGCACTGGGGTTCAGAGGGCAGGGCTGGGCCCACACCTCAGTCTTCAAGGTGTGGCCGGTGGACCACCAGCAGCATCACCACTGGGAGTTTGTTGTAAAAGCAGAATCTTAAACCCGCCTCAGAGTCGGGATCTGCATTGTAACAAATCCCCAGGTGATCGCATGCAAATCCAAGTTTGAGAAGCATTAGCTTGCAACTAATCAAGGAACTGCTTTAACACTGTTTTATAAGAAACACATGCAAAGTGATTTTTGTTTCCCTAAATTAAAATAACGACTTAGAGGATTTGTTCTTGTTGTAAGTGGTGGTGTTTTTATGGTCTTGCATTGTTTCGTATATTTTCCTATTCATTTTTAGGTCCCTGTCTGTGCCCAGCTCAGGTATTTGGTCCTAAACATTTCTTGGTATTATCCATTACTATCTAATCATCACCCATTAAATTACCTGTACTGAGCTGAGTGAGCCTGGTTGTTTTATTTATTTATTTATTTATTTATTTA